CTGTACCTTCACCATCTTTATTATCATTTACACCTAGATATGTGAAGCTCTATACACCTCCTCCACTTCGCCCCTCCAGTTCTCAGCCTGCTGCCTCATGCACTTCTTGGCACTAAGTTTCAGCCCAACTTTGGCAGCATTATCCTCTGATCTGGGCCTATACTTTCAAAAAAGTTAAGAGATCGTAAGTTCATCCGCCAATCATCGACGGCCTTTCAAGCAAAATCTACCAATCATAGACAAGAAAATAGAGCGCAAGTACTTACGTTCAATTAGCGAGTTTTGAAAGTATGGCCACTGGTTGTTTATGCAGCAAGTGCTTAAATGTTAAATATAAAAGGGGCGGTGTCATCTGCAAAGTCGAGGTGAAAAAGCATGGTTGTGAAGTTCCATCGGATTCCACGTCTTTTACCTTGGATCGCATTCCCTTAACAACCCCCCTGACAAGCTGTAGCCCTGCTTCACTCTTGTCGTCACTGGGAACCAATCTGTTGCCTCCTTCTCGTCGATCACAGAGCACTGAAATTCCTCATATAGAGGGTCATGATCATCTGGATCAGCTTCTTAAGATTCCATACTGGCGCATGATAATCCGAGAAAAAGCTTCAATTAAATAGAACTGCATAAAATAATTCGAATCAGCACTGCTTCAAATAAAATACACGGGAATTCAACCGCAGCTGGTTTTTATAATTATTCAAAATTCACGAAGAAAATAAAAAATAACATTAAACTCATTTAGATAAAAAATAGAATAACTATGATGAAATTTAATAGGGCTTGGCACAGTTGATATTATTTCTACGAATATTATCACTGACCAGGTTCTCTGACCACAAGACTGGCAGAATAGCTTCACTAATACTGTTAATTTAATGGATGACAAAACCCTCTATGAGAAAGAAGCGTTTTGCTTAGAAATTATTTAAAAATTATTTTGCCGCGAGAATATCTTGCGCAGTTCAAGTTTTTGTATCGAAGAAAAAGGAGCCCACAATTGACTTGCTGATCGTCCACTGGCTGCACCAGGCGCCAGAGACAAACTTTGAAGATATCCCTCACCAAATTTCATAATCATGCATTTTAAATCTGCAATTTCCTCATTTTTTGTGCCATTTTCGTGGGAATTTCAAGTTATGAAAACAAAATACGGTTGTTTTTCAATGGATTTTGAAGCATTAAATTAGGAATTTAAATCCTCTATTAATTTACATTAGTATCGTTTTAAGGTGATTTTACACCCGTGAATTGTCGTTGTATTTGGTGATGGGGCGCGTAAAGTGAGATAAATTACTAACTCGTTGTGCTAATTTCTAATTATTTGAAAAATAATCACAAATGATTAAATGATTATATTTCTTAATGTTTGACGCACATGAATTTATCCTATAAATTATTAATTTTTAATAAAACGCTTGTTTAGTTAAAAGATGCAGTAAGTGGGCCATGAATGCAGAAATAAATTTTCAAAACGAAAAATGTTACGGATCATCTTTTGTTTATGGGGGATGAAAAGCTTGCGAATTGATGATGAAACTCGAGTAAATGAATAACAATTATGCTCGAAATATGCCATAATATCTATACGCATGAATACCAATGTTCTGAATTGTTTCGAAATGAAACGGTAGTATATTTTTACAGAGATATTATGCATGACTAGGTTCTGCAATGGAAAATTTACCGTTTAATCTCTTTCATGTCCCAGCCTTTGATGGGCAACTTATTTATTTCTGAGCTTTGCTTGCTGGAAAATGTTCAGGCTTACACCGTTTGCCGCATTGAAGTTCGGGTGCTTACATTTGATGAACATCAGCTTCACATCTAACTGCTGACAGAAGACTGGTTAAAATCCTATCAAACTGATGTTGCCTTTTTGATATTCTCACTTGTTCAACAGCTGCTTATGTATGAAACTGCCACCGACTCAGGCAGCTGTTCCCGTTTTCAAATTAAATATTTTCGAGTTAACCATTCAGGCTCATGATGACCCATGCTCGGCATGTTCTACAATTTCATACAAAAATCATGTTGAAAGTGGATGAAAGCAAAAAAAAACGAAAATTCATAGCCAAATTTACGAATTGTAGTTTAAATTTTATTCATAACTTTTTGTAGAAAATTGTTGGAAACTGTAGGGACCTGAGCGTAAGTTTCTCACGAACATCTACATTTTTTCACACATCAATAGGTGACTCATTGTATGAATACTATTGCTTTTATCAACGATCTAAGTTGTGCGAAACGATTACACTGCAAAGCTTGTACTTATAGTGATATATACTATACTGTATAGAATATAAAATGTTGAGCTAATGCATATGCAGTGACAATAAAGTAATTTTAAATTCATAAATTTCAAGGCTCATAAATTTCAAGGCCACTTTCATAAATTTCAAGGCTCAAAAGCTCTTACAATAAGCAGTAGGAGCTGAATCGCATATCAGAAAATTAGATATTAGAAAATTCGTTTATGTGGATGTACATCAGGATATATTATTATAATTGTTTAACGTTTATCAACATACAGTAACATACATGCATAATACAATATAGTAGTAAGGAACATGAAAAAAATAGCAAAAGCTTCCGAGTGAATGCCCGCAACTGAAAAAAAGCTTTGCAGACACCAAGGTGGTCCTTTAATCCCATTCAAATGATAATATAATAACGATAAAAACGACATAAAGTTGCTCAAAATAACACACATCCATACACTGTTAGAAAAAACGGTGAAAAACGGTCCCACCGGAATCCTAGTGGCCGGTCGCCCCGTGAAAATAAACTGTTTCGCCGTTTTTATCAGATGTTTTACAGATTTCTGGTGTTAAACTGGAATAAAAACGGTGAAACGGTGTTTCTTTTCACGTGCGGACCGGTTACTGAAATGCCGGTAATACCGTTAACGGTCATTTTTCTAACAGTGTAACAAAAACCTCAAGAAAACTGATAATAGCACGTCACTAGGAGCAAACATATCTATGGAAGAAGTAACACACTGAAAAATAAGATGTAATTGAAAACAGCATGTCAAATTAATATAATCTTTCATGTTAATAAAAGTCAAATTAATATAGGGTAATAATAAAATCGCGGACGTCTTGGACTAGATAAAAAGGGAGGTCTTGGTTATTTATCTAAGGAGGCCTGGGACTAGATAAAATATTGTCATGTGTTAGTACCCTTACGAAAACCAAACTGATCATCTGATATTATTGAAAATTTGTCGAAAAAAATTTTGATTCTGGAATGGAGAATTTTTTTCAAAAATCTTAGTAACAAAAGGCAAGGTTGAAATTGGACGATAATTACAGACTTTACAAGGGTCGCCAGATTTAAAATAGGTATAACTCGAGCACGTTTCAATGAATCAGGATACACTCCGGTGGACATGCATCACTGTTAGAAAAAACGGTGAAAAAACGGCCCCACCGGCGTTCTAGTGGCCGGTCGCCCCGTGAAAATAAACTGTTTCGCCGTTATTATCAGATGTTTTACGGATTTCTAGTGTTAAATTAGAATAAAAACGGCGACACGGTGTTTCTTTTCACGTGCCGACCGGTTACTGAAACGCCGGTAATACCGTTAACAGTTAATTTTCTTACATGCATAGGTTAAAAATGTACGCTAAAACTTGAGCTACGGTGTCAGCTACAAGAGACAATATTCCTGGCTGAATGTCATCGGCACAATCGCAAAATATATTTTTATTTCTAGTTCAGAAGTCGGGAAAATGAAGCAGGATGCCTCACAGAAAGGAATAGCATGCACCATATAATTGTTCACAGGTCCTAGGTCCTTAGTAATGCCATCAGCAACAGAGAAAAAATTATTATTGAATATAATTATTTTAGTTGCGGCGTCAATACCAAAAATTGACTTGTTGTGTTTAAACAATTCAATTGGTCAGTTTACAACATTTTTTCAATGCAAGGTGTTAACAATTTTCCATAAAATATTTTAATCATTTGACTCCTATTTAATTTAAGCTGAGTAGTTTCGTCTTTCATTTAACTGTCCTAATTGGCGTGTCTAGGACATTCCGAAAATTGGCATACGATTGACGAAGACTTTCACCAGAACGGGACAGCTTCAGAAGTTTTTGTTTTTCCTAATGGCAGATTTAATTATTCTCAGCAGTCACCCTAGCAGGCCTTTCTTTTCTTACAGAGAGAAATTTCACAGGAAAAGATTCGATATAAATTTTGGAATGATATAAAAGAGTGTATTGCTAAGTTGGGTTCAATAATTTGGACAAAAATGGCGACGAAAAGAATCGCATTTTCTCATTAAACTTTTGAATATTGTCATCATTAATTAAGCAAATTTTTTTCACAGGTGGATTGAACGAAAAACAAAAGAACGTCACCAAGTGATTGTCACCCTCAAAGTAAAAGAACGTCACCAAGTGATCAGACAAGTCAAAGTCAATTACAGCTGATTCGAAGTTGTATCCATTATCATGAATTAAAATTAAAATTCGTTGTGCCTCTAAAAGTAAAAACGAATTATAATTGAGCACAAAAAATCCCCACAAAAGTAAAGGTATTTTCCAGTCGTGCGAGTCGTTCTATTCACCGACTACAAGGTTATCGCGACGCTGGCAGGCTATTTCGCTGAGGACCCGAAACTAAAGTAAAAATAATGATAAAGCAAATGATATTCAGCACAATTTGTATGCTGAAACTCAACAATTCGGATGCTGAGGAATTTATTGCTGCTCACATTTTTCAAAAAATAAAAATGTCGCTGGTCGTCGAGTACCAAATTCCTCGGTTGGCAACGACCGGTCTCTTATACACATCTAGATGTGTATAAGAGACAGGATCTAAGTTGTGCGAAACGATTACACTGCAAAGCTTGTACTTATAGTGATATATACTATACTGTATAGAATATAAAATGTTGGTCTAATGCATATGCAGTGACAATAAAGTAATTTTAAATTCATAAATTTCAAGGCTCATAAATTTCAATGCCACTTTCATAAATTTCAAGGCTCAAAAGCTCTTACAATAAGCAGTAGGAGNGTCGTGTGTCAAGTAGTTGTAGAAGTGGACGCCGAGACTCTCTGGGTATAACTGCAAGAAGAAATATTATATTAATAGTTGTCATTACAAGCGTTCATCACTATCATTCCTGAAAATTGAATATTTTGATTGTTATTGCATTATTGATGAGAAACCGCCTCGTGAGATTTGAGTTGCATTCGTTGACATGAGTTCTCACAGCTCCTTATACTTTTGAATATATTTCATTCAGAATTGTTGTTAGAATCCTTTATTCGCCTATTTTATAGCTGAATTTAGTCCGTCATATTAAGTACAGTAGTTTTGTTGAGAAATTAGACAAAAATGAAATGCTCACGCATTCAATAACTCGTGCACTATACCGGACAGCTGATAATTACGGTTAATGAGAATGATCGGTTCGAAACCCCCGAGATAGGAACTGTCAATCGTCAGTATTTTAAAACGCTCTCACGAATGTGCTTGGTACCAAGGCTGTGAAAAACTTCCCGTATTCACGTTGACACCAGATGAATAATTCAGCTGTGTTGCCCACATATTATGACCGGTCTTCGTCACTGCATGGTCACACACACCTCTCACACTCTGGTAAATCTCGTAACATTCTTAAGATACCCCCAGGTAACATACCCAGAGTGTTTAGGGACACACACCCAAGGCCATGCTGAAAGCACCACCTTATTCACAACCTGAACTAATGCAACTCCAGATGAAGGAGCTAATGGGCCAGGGACGCCTGGCAGATCAGTGTCGCAGAAGGTAAGAACACCAAGAAAGGAAGAGTCTGGCATTCTGCTGGCCAACATCGAGGGGCTCTTCCCACAAGGAGCGCGTCGCAAGATTGGCGTGCTGCATGAGATGGCCGACGAGGGTGGGATCTTTATTATTGCACTAACGTAGCCGCACCCAAGAAAATACATCCTTGATGCAGAAATTGCAATGGAAGGATTCCAACATTATCGTGCGGATTGAATGAAAGGGAGGAAGAAGGGAGGAGTGATTGTTTACCTCAGGAACTCCCTCGCAAAAATACACGGGGTAATTGAGATCAGAATCTGGAAACTCCGATGGCTCTGTTGAACACGTGCACCACATAAAAAACTCAACATCTGCGTCATTATGAGTGCTCCGCAAGGAAACCGAACGCAGGTTTCTGGACTCGTACAGGACGGAAGAATTAGCTGCCGAGGTACGAATAGGTTGAAGTCATCAGAGAGAATCCTAAATATTTTTTTAAATAGGCTCATTCCAAGGCAAAAATAAAGACAGCTAGGAGTGGGCCTGCTGAAAGATAACGATGTCTATGTTGGAAATGACTAGGGCATGTGTGAGTTATTGGAATCGCAGTTTGAATCAGCGTTCAGTAGCTCCCGCTATTCAAGACAGGAGAATGAAATTGAAGTTCTTCAGGAGCTACCAGGTGGAAGGGGGCTGGAGAACATTGAGTTTGGACCAGAGGATATGGAAATGAGTATCAAAGAACTGGAGACGTTTTCATTACAGACCCGATGGGATTTCGGCAGTGCGGTTGAAGAAAGGTGTTGGAACGCTGAAGGCTCTTCTTACAATGTTCTGGAAAGCCTATATAATGGAAGGCATTATTGTTGAGGGCCTAAAAGTGAGACTGATAACGCCAATCAAAAAAGGAGGTCGAGAAACCGACCCCTAAATTACAGACCTGTGAACTTGACCTCATAGAAAATTAAGGTTTTTGAGAAGGTAATGGCCAGGAGGCTTGTCCACTATATGGTATAGCCTGAACTGTATAATAATCGACAACATGGTTCCTTCCTGTTTGTTACAGTTATTGGAGCTCTATCACCGCCTTGTTGCCCTACTGGAAGGGGAAGCTGGCGTGGACTTAGTTTACCTAAATTTGCTAAAGCTTGTGACAAAGTTGACCATGAGGTGGTTTTTCAGAAAGCTGAGGCAGTTGGGTGTAGGAAGAAGTTTGTTAGAGTAGATCCATAAATCCCTTACAGATAGAGTACAAGCTGTCCCAATCGGAAACTCAAAATCTAGAGAAGTAAGGGTGAAAAGCGAAGTGTCACAGGGCTCGGTGCTTGCATAATATGCAATTCAACGGCACCAAGTTCGAAGCAATAAAATACACAGGCGGCACAGAGACCAGTATAACAAATCGCTACTTGGCATCGATGGCACAGAAATTGACGAGAAGCAATTTGTTCGAAATCTCGGAGTGTTGATGAATACCGAAGCCACGCTTGATGACCACATCGAGGAAATAGTTGCTCGAGGCAGATAAGGGATAGAGGGGATCTGGCGGACATTTCGAACAAGAGAAGCAGCGTCAATGATTACACACTTCAGAGCCCTAGTGCTCCCCAATCTTGAGTACTGCTGCCAGCTTTGGACGCCGCTCAAGGCGGGTGGGGTGCGGAAACTGGAGTCAGCCCAGCGGACCTTCACGTACGTCCAGGTTCAGCAGTATGAGGCAGCTGGAGCTGCCTCATACCGCTGACAGGGTCAGGTTGAAACATTTGGGACTGCACTCACTGGAGAGGAGAAGAGAGAGATATATCATACTTGGAATATGATAACCAGGCTGACTCCCAACTTTGAAAGTGAAACCTCCAAAATATTACAGCGAAAGAAGGGGGAAACTGCAGGGTTTTCCCTTTTAATAACCGAGCCGCGGCCAGAGTACTGCCTCTTACTGAGGGATCACTGTCCGTGGTAGGACCGAGGCTGTGTAATGCCTTGCCAAAGATGCTGATGAGAGGGGAGAGAACACGTCCAACCTTACATCCGGGACCCGAGGGTGGGGCGACCTGCCTATCGATGACTTGGAGACGGAGGAAGACGAAGGCGGCGCATCAGCGTGACCGTGGACTGAGGTCATAAGTCCTAAACTCATCATAAGGCCATAAGAAAACTGTCATTGTGGTTAATTGTCAAAAGATTCGTTTGTGTCTCTCCTTGAGGTAAGCTAAGCAGAGACGCGTAAAAATATTGAGCTCGAAACATAAACCTTAAACTATTCGGCACGAAAAAATACAGGTCAAAAACTATAACTATTATCTTATGAACTCACAGTTTCTATGGGTGGAAAAGACCTATTGTTTTCAGGGCCCAGAAAAAGTTTTCCAGCCTCGGTGTGAGGCAGAGGTAAGAAGGCGGAGGATTTGAGTGCCACCCAGTCACAGTTCTCAGTCTCGTCTGTTCAAAGCAAAGACGTGCTATCAGCGGTTAAGCAGCTTCTCTACACAAGACAACTTTCTAATGTTTGATGTTTTTATTCGTCTTGCTCTTCATTTGTCTCTAATTAAGCACCTGTGCACTTTATACCAAAAGTGAAATTAAATTAAAAATATTGAGCTCGAAACATAAACCTTAAACTATTCGGCACGAAAAAATACAGGTCAAAAACTATAACTATTATCTTATGAACTCACGGTTTCTATGGGTGGAAAAGACCTATTGTTTAAATTTTTTAGAATGAAAAGAATGAAATTTTATAATTGTTTTTATATAAATAATTCACAAGAAATAAGAAGTGGCCAAATAATTTTGAAAATCCCGTAGTTAACTCTCAACTGAATCCAACTTATTTCCTTGCTGGTAACTTTGAACTTTGACCGCCAACCAGTGCAAACTTTAGAACATCTGGCAAAAGTGAACTTACTGGAACAAAGTTTTTGTTGTTGGAGTTCATCGCACGGTTTAATTGGTTGAGATTTTCGGTTGTTGTAGTTATCCAAGCGTTCTAAACCGACGGGGGTTCGATCACATCCCAAAAGTTTAGCCACAGCCGTCATAGCCGCCGGTCCGTTGGCTGCGAAGACGTCTCCCTGCAAACACCAGCAGGCCCTTATAAGCCCATTTTATTGAATCAAGCAATGGGCGCTATTTTTCTCAAATTTAACGCTGTGAAGAGAAATTGTTTGATTTATTGCGACCATGGTCCAACAAAATCCAGATAAAAGCCTGCAATTTCCTACAATACGTGTAGGTAGATGATTCAGTCAGCTTGCAATAACATTAAAACAGGAACAATCTCACTCAGAGCCGGCCACTAATGCCGGTCACCTAAACAATTTAATATAACCCCTCTTTGCAACATAGCATACTCTCTTCAACATACCGGGCACGGTTTAAAATATCAAACCCATTACCTCACACCCCGTTTATCTTCACATTATAGTTAGCATGACCTTCAGGTACATGTTCTATGCCCTCACATTATAGTTAGCAGCAATATGCTTCATGACCCTCAGGATCATGTTCTATAACATAACATATAACATATTGATCTCGGCGCTGAAGTGTAGGCCTGATGGGCCCTGTCGCCGATTCTTTTCTTATTCGTGCCTTGTTCACAGAAGATCTAAAATCGTGTCATTTGACCGGATCTTTTCATGACTTATGATAGTTTGAAGTAGCTACTAGACTTCCACCGCGTTCGATATGGTGCTAGGCAATTCAAATCTGAACATATAATTTTTCATAGCTTTATCTAGTCTGTTATTGAATGCGTCCATACTTGGAGCGCCAACGATGTCATCGGGGAGGCTGTTCCACATGTCGGTGATTCGAAGCGAGAAGAAATGTTGTCGCGTAGAGAAGTTGCAGCGCAGTATTTTTAGTTTATTGCCGTGGCCCCTGGTGTTGGTTCTTGTTTCAAATTCTAGTATTGTAATCCTTCGGGGACCTTGTATAAACCATGAGTATACTTGTATACTTCAATGAGGTCCCCACAGCACAACAGGGCGCAGCGCGATGACGTCCATGTCGGTGTACAAACCTCCGAATTTGTACACGAGCGCCAGGCGACTCAGGTCGCTCAGGTGGTGAATTCTGAACGCTGTCAAACATTGGGATATTTATTATTCTGGATGCGTTTACCTTCAATTAAGTTAAGAATTTGCCTGTTTGTGTTCTTTTTTATGATTTATACTTACCATGCAGCTCAGGTTTCCATTAGCGTACTCGATCTGACCATTTACATCCTTGGAACAACATATGACTTGTAAGTTATTGACAAACGTTACCACCAAACAACCTTAATTACGATGTAATTTGTTACCATGTTCGAGTCCTACTTCCATTTCTCTAGCCGAGTTGTACATAATATGCTACTTACAAGTTTTATTGAACTTCTTGGAGTGGTAAAGTTCTAGTAGAGGAGTGTCCTGGAAATGCAAGTTGAGGTTGAAATGAGCCACACACAAGTTCTGGTATGTGGCCTGAATTAGCATCAATTCTTCGAGCGTCCTGGGGTCCAAGTTCTGAGATGTCACCAAGAACCACACGTGCGCGTGGGGATAGAGTTTGCAGTAACTGTGGATATGAGGTTATAAATTTGGATTGATGAAACAAGTGGGGTTATTAAGAGGGCTGATTATGGCAGTTCTCGCTGTAAGGTGATGATGATAACTGGACTGATTACAACAATAACTGCACCTGCAAGGTAATGAATTGATGCTAGTGACGACTTGAACAGAAGAACACCGTTGAAACCTTCTGCTATTAATGGCTGAGACGTAAATAATGGGATGGGGTAGAAACTTTGGTCGTTGCAGCAGTGACTAAACTATCTTAGTTGGCAACTTTAGTTTAGAGTGAAAGTTTTCAATTAACTCTCAATATGAATACAAATACGTTATTTTAAGGTTTTAACCTAGTTTATTGTTGGTACCAGTTACCATTTGGTCATCATTACCATCATAATTTACGAGTCCCCACTCATTACCTCTCCAGTCCACAGAGCCCCCTGGGGGGCACTGCTGTGGCATACGACGTCTCCATCAGGTAGACGTTGTAGGCGGCGACGTCTGGCACCACGTCTCTGATGGGACGTATGGTAAATGTCATTACATGATTACCTTACTGAATGAAATGTCATTTATTTGATTATATGGAATTATATGTAAATGGGATCATAAACTCGGATTATATTATTTGTTTCATTTCAGAACGCACGGGGTACACGCACACGATGATGTACCTGTAGTTCATAAATAAAAAGGAAATATAGTTTTTAACATTATTGTGCAAATCTATTTTTATACCAACTAGTATTTCATCGAGCAACAATAAAAGATCCAACACAAAATTCGCGCTCCATTTTCAGACTCACTTGTACAACTCGGGCAGCTCTGCTGTTCCGTGTTCATTAAATCCCAAAAAGCAAAAATTTTCTTTAGTTTTTCCAGTATTATTAAGAGCCTCATTTACTCCGCCTCCTGTAGCAACTGGAGACAATAACCGGCTGAACAGAGTGCCTGTGAAGCCTGCGCGGAGACGAAGTTATGGTGTGAGTGGTAAAACACGTCTAAATATTATTTCAAAAGAAATAAGATTAATAGTTTACGAAATCTGCTTCCTTCTTCATCTTTTGTTGGAACCAGTTCATATGCATACACGTCCCAGTNAAAATTACGACCAGCCCCACCGCGGAAATCCCTCTCAGTTTCCAGCAACGCCGCCTCAGCGAGGCTGGAGAGTGGAATTTATCGTATTTATTAAGCGAATAAAAACGATAAACTAATAATTTCATAATTCATAGTCAGAACTACAAGGATTAAATGCAATTATTGGAGTTGGGCGATGGCGATATAAAAGGTTATGTATACCTCAAATTAGAGGCAAAATTTTGTTGCTTTATATCAAATTAATAAACTATGCGTCCATTGTTGAAAGTTATTACTCGACTGTATTGCAGTGTAATATTTTATAACCAATTCAATTTTCGTTGCCATAATATTCGTTTAGGTTTCAAGGTAGAATCGAGTTTTCTTTTCATATATTTACTGAACATATTTTGTGAACTTGTGAGAAACGGAAAGCGAACCAAATTGCTTGCCACGTTACTTATTTCGACGTCGAAAAATTTTAATGTAGGTTACTAGAAGTCGTATACTAAATTTTGCATCACTACTGCTCAACAAAAACTATTACGGATTAATATTAATGTTTTTCTTGCTAGAAAGATTGAAGAAATGGCTTTCTTTGTAGTGATGTTAAATTTAGGAGTGATGACAGTAAGAGATTACCAGAAGTTATTCCTTTGTTTTTCTACCGCGCATTTTTGTTATTACATTAAATTGTCATTTTTATGTTCATTTGCTAGAAGAAAATCGTCTTTATATTCTTGGAAAGTTGGCATTTGAACTCTTCATTCTCTATGAATTTAAGCTGCCGAGCGAAACTTTGATCATTTGAAACATTGGTGCATGAGTATCTCTTATTTAAATATCCTATTTATCTTGCATTCAAATGATCTTAACTTTCTAAAGATTTTCAATTGACATTTTGAATCATGCCTTCTAAACCAAAAACTTTTCATTTATTGTCATTATCATAAATATTTGTACCGCGAGTTAATATGCACTTTTCGTACCAAACATTCATTTTGTACACGTTTAATAATAACTATATTAAGAAAGCAAACGTAATTCTTTTAAAACATTTTCGTCGCAATGTCAATCGATATAATTACTTGCTTTTTGCAAAATAATATGAATTCAGCTACCGCGAGATCAATTTAAATAAAAACGAAAAACTAATAATTAATAATAATTAATAATAATTAATTAATAAAAGTGTAGGGTGGATATATGGGCCTTCCTCTGAATTTTTTTTATTAATCCTCAGTGCTCCTGTTGTGGTCATTCCTTCAGTATTGAATCACAAATGAACGGTAATAAATTGTATCAATTCTTTGGGAAATGTTCTTTCACTTAAAGTTAACTGCTTTCTACCTGTATGGTCGATAATATTTACATTATAATTTATATATTATATGGTTATTTATATCAAGACGTGATCTAATGCTCTCATGTGAGTGCTCACCACCGCAGTGTACACTGTATTATTACGAATGAATAATTAATGAATGAATGAATTTATAATATATATGGGTTAAATACATATAATAGCGTTTCCTCAATTTAAGTATATAAGATAAATAATTATTTTAAATTGTGTCTTTCTATTCTCTTAATTTCAACATTGAAAACATTTATCAATTTTTTTTAAATAGTTGCTCTGTTGTTCCTCATTAGTTTATTTTTTGCTTCTATCCGCAATTGCTTTCAGTTTCAACTTAAATAAACTCACCTGACGGCTGCAACAATGTCATGTCACCGTAATGAGAGACTTATTAATGATGATGTGAAGGATAACCAAATGCAGTCAATTAATTTCACAGTTGAGTAATTTAAAATTAAAATAATCTGTTTCCTGCTATGTACTCTGTCAACGGAATCACTCCGTTCAAGTTGAATCTTCACGATAGACTGTTTATATTTTGTATCACTTCCGTTGCATAAAAAGTCAATAACACCACATATGCTTTTCACGACAATTTGACAAGTGTTGCGCTATGTCGTCGCACCTGGCGTTCGCCACAGCTACAGTTGCTGTCAAAAAAATTGCGAAGCACAAAAATAAAAATTTTGGCGATGGCGAAACGACATTAGTGAGAAAATTAGCTCTAAATTCCTCAATTCAATAGGAATCGATCGTGTTCGGCACAACACTCTTGAGGACGTTCAGAATAAAAAATAGTTAAAGTCTATCTGTAGACGCTGGTTCCCTACTTCAACATCGAATATAATCACTGTTCAGTCCTCGATATCGCTAGCTAGTTAGAAGTCAATCCTTAGCCAGATACCTTTGCAACAACACCATTTAAGCAGCCCTAGCTGCTCACATCCCTAATTGCTTTCACTTTCAACTTTATTGAACTCACCTGACGGCTGCAACAATGTCATGTCACCGTAATGAGGGACTTATTAATGATGACTTATTAATGATGATGATAATATTATATATTAATTGATGATAATTGATATTGATTGATATTGATTGATTGATTGAATTGATGATGATAATGATGATGATGATAATATTATATATTAATTGATGATAATTGATATTGATTGATATTGATTGATTGATTGAATTGATGATGATAATGATGATAATATTATATATTAATTTCACAGTTGAGTAATTTAAAAGTCAAATCTGTTTCCTGCTATGTACTCTGTCAACGGAATCACTCCGTTCAAGTTGAACCTTCAAGTTAGACTGTTTATATTTTGTATCGCTTCCGTTGAAAAATCAATAACATCACATATGTTTTTCACGACAATTTGACAAGTGTTGCGCTATGTCGTCGCACCTGGCGTTCGCCACAGCTACAGTTGCTGTCAAAAAAATTGTGAAGCACAAAAGTTAAGCCGGAGAAAGTTTTTTAAATACCATTCATGCCTAGGATCTAAATAATGCCTACTTTTCTTAGGGTTTGAAATAAAATTAAGCTCATTCTTTAGCGGTCTCAGAATGTTTCAGATTATCGAATTTTTTCTTTCGAGACTGGAAACTTGTATGTTCGCTATAAAAGTCTCGGCGACGACGAAACGACATTAGTGAGAAAATTAGCTCTAAATTCCTCAATTCAATAGGAATCGATCGTGTTCGGCACAACACTCTTGAGGACATTCCGAATAAATAATAGTTATAAAGTCTAGCTGTAGACGCTGGTTCCCTACTTCAACATCGAAAATAATCACTGTTCAGTCCTCGATATCGCTAGCTAGTTAGAAGTCAATCCTTAGCCAGATACCTTTGCAACAACACCATTTAAGCAGCCCTAGCTGCTCACGATTGTTGCACAAACCAAAATAATAAGCAATAATATCGAGCGTCTAGGTGCTATATCGTCAGTATATTGAGCAAACCATAGTTCGCAATGATATTGAACGTCTAGATAGAGGCTTGTTTAGGCAACTGTACGAGTGAAGCTAGTCTGGCACACCTGTTAGTTTTTCGCAACAGCTGTTGGTGCTGGCACAAGAAAGTGCAGCTAAACTGCAGTTCAGCTAGAGAAGCCTGATTTGATATCATGCAACGCTCCCTCATCGTGACTGCATCACAACGAGTTCACGAGTATCCAGCCAATCAGCCTTTCTCAAATCAGCCTTTCTCAAATCAGCCTTTCTCAAATCAGCCTTTCTCAAATCAGCCTTTCTTAAATCAGCCTTTCTCAAATCAGCCTTTCTTAAATCAGCCTTTCTCAAATCCGCTTTTCTCAAATCAACTTTTCTCAAATCAACTTTTCTCAAATCAACTTTTCTCAAATCAACTTTTCTCAAATCAACTTTTCTCAAATCAGCCCGTCATGGCGCACTCGGCCCCCTCACTCGGCCAGTCGCACGGTTTATGCGACGGCTTTTCAACCTGCCTTGTCGTGGCGCACACACCGCCGCAGTCTACACGTGGCTACCACTTCATAAAACCTTATGTGATCGTACAGCTCGGTCGTACACTGCCTTTTGAGGATAAAAACGATACAGTGGTTTTAGACGGTGAACTGATAAACTTTTCACTGTGTACATATAACTTCCGCAACCGGCTTCCACTAACTAACTCCTATCGAAATATTCTACCTCACTACAGACACGTCGTTCTCCAAAGAACCATTTTTTTCAGTTCCTAAGTCTGACGAACAATTGAAAAAAATACGTTAGAAAAATAAAGAACATTAAAAATGAGCTCAGAAAATTTCAGAATAACAAAGATAAATACAGATTCAAAGAAACAAATGATTATTATACGATATTGCGATCATAACATTTCCCCCCACCAGTGGATACTTATGTCCACGCAAAAAAAACATCACGCTTCGCAGCATAAGTACATTATTTACAAAAAGGTTTAGCACATTCTGATTACCTAATCATTCTAACACACACAATTAACATAACTATATTGTGAACATAACTATATTACTAACAAAGTCGTCCAGTGATACGAATGAAATTTCAACCCAGACGTGTGATAGTTCAGTTACCCAGAAAATGAACATTAACGTATTTCGTTGTCATCATATCAGAGCATTTACGTTTCATAATGGCCGATTTAGTATATGCAATCTATGTTCAAGGCAAGTAAAAAAAAACTCTGTCAATCATGAGCGAAATTCGGCCTAAATCTGATGCATAATTCTTAAATTTAAGCTCTCCCCTACCGGCTAAGATACGCTACTAAAGCAAGTTTCAAATTTAATATAATTGCACTAGCATCAAGGGAACTTATACTTAAAACCAATATACACAACATTTTAAGCACCCGATATAGCAGTACATTTAATTTATACATCAACTCCATTTCCACATTCATAGCATAATCATTTCTTACT